TTACTTATGGTGAATTCTCTGCAACCCCCTTCCCCCCAGTCAATGCTCTTTGGGGCCTGTAGGGCCTTATGAATAAATAAATTAACTCGTAGCATTCATTTATAAACGAATTCAACCGAAAGGAGCAATAAAGCCACATGGGCTAAGCCCAGTATTCTGTAGACTGCTTCTTACTGCACAGAGAAAAGAAACTTGCTTTGCGTACGAACGTGTTTTCTTTTCACCTGATATATTTTTTTTCTGCCAACAAAGTGTATACATGGCGCATTCACCAGCAGCCAGGGGATAGCAACAGGTTCAAAAGAGCAGGAAATGCTTTAACAAAGTGAATAGGCATTGAACATGACAGTCAGTCATGTTCAATGACTGACTGTCATGACATTGCAGTCATGTATAATTGCTATTATCAAAATAGCAGAACCGAGGCAAAAAAAAGAACAAACACGGTGCTCAAATTAAGCGACCTGCCCAACATTATTACTAGCACGCAGTGCTGCTCAGTATGCAGCCTGGTTCATGATAATGCATGTGAACATTATTTTTCACAAAAAGGGGCGAGGTCGACCCATTAATAGTACAAATCCGGAGAAAAGGTGATTAGGGTTCGAAAGTGTGGCCCGCAAGAAATAGCGTGAGCCACGTTCCTTAAGCACTAGCTAGGCTGTGCTCTACATCGTCTGCTCAACACCACGTGCCCCTGTGTACAGCGGCCCTTGCGGCATCAGTGCCCTTTGTGGACAAGTTTTGCAGGAGCTTTTCACCCCTCCCCATTTTAGCCACTGTACCTACGCCTCAGCGCTGCGTCGTCTGCTCTGCTGTACGCACTGCTCCACTAAGCGCAGAAAGTACACGAAAATCGTGAACCAGTGCTGCATCTCTCCTGCACTTTTTAAATGCGAAGCATTTCTTAGCAAACTTCAGAGACTTTGAGTGTATCTATATATATATTGCCACGTTCTTGTTCTCAAGTTTTGTTATCGCCCCAATACACTATGTAATTCTCAGCGCAAACCGCACCTGCAGTCTTCGAGAAGCTTCAGGACTGTAGTAGATCATTTCGATAAGATCGCGTCCACTCCGCGAACTATACAGACCATTCTAGAGCTTATGTCACCGCTAGCGATAACGCTAGAACATTCGACGGCAAGTGTATAAATGCCGACGCGCTTCGCCGCTTGTCAGTTTATCGACGGCCGACGCTCCGTTCGCCACTATCAGTGCATGCCTGCTACTGTGATCCGACTTTCCGTTTACTGGGCACAAGTTTGCCCAAATAAACAGTTTAATCTTCAACATACTCTCTGCTTCTTCGTCGACGTCATGACCCCGTGACATCTATCTAGCCGCCTACGACTTTTAGCTTTCCTGGCCGTTTCGATAATAGTATCGACACCAAACTTGGTATGTCATAACATGACTGTATGAAGAACATATTTGACTAGTCACAACATGAAAATCATGATATATATGTCAAGAATGTAATGATTTACATTTCATGGTACTGTAGCTCTTGCAGTGGTTTCGTTCACATGGCATGTTGCAAACCTGGTATGGTATGACATGATTGCATGGCGAACACAAGCGACAGACCCTAACATTAAAAACATGACATGCGTGTCATGTAACAACATGACTACATTCCACGCTCATGATGCGCTCGCGGCTGTTTCAATTGCATCACACATACCAAATTTGGTACTACGGTACGTGAATGGATGACGGAGGTATCTGACTGGTGCAAACATGATAATCATGAGATACAGGTCATGTAACAACATGACTACATGCCGCACTCATGATGCGCCGAAGGCTGTTTTGCTAGCTTCACTTATACCAAATTTGGCACGAGACGTGAATGGATCACGAAGGCATGATACTGGTGCAAACATGATAAACATGAGATGCGTGTCATGTAACAACATGACTGCATGCTACACTCATGATGTGCTCGCGGCCGTTTTGCTAGCTTCACATGTACCAAACTCGGTACTACGCGACACGAATGGACGACATAAGTAAATGACACACCCAAACATGATAATCCTGACATGCGTGTGATGTAACAACATGACTACATGCCACACTCATGATGCGCTCGCAGCCGTTTTTGCTAGCTGGACATGTGCCAAATTTGGTATTACGTGAGGCCAATGGATGGCGAAGGTATGTGACTGGTGCAAACATTATAGTCATGAGATGCGTGTCATGTGAGAACATGACTATATGCCACAGTCAAGGCGCCAATACATTTTCGATGTTACGCGGTGCGCGTGCTCCTTGGCGTGCATTTAGTTGCGTCACGCCGGCACACCTCGTAACGTTGTGCGCCTCGTAACGTCAATCAGCACACCTCGTAACGTTGTGCTGATTTTAAAGGGACATATGAACATTTCTCATTCGTGGTTCGCATATCATCAATTCCCACTGTACGTGGGATCTGCCAATTTTTTCAAACAAATGGCATGGTTCAGAGGTCATTACTGCGCGCTGAAACAAATGGCAAGATGCAGCACCTCGTGAACTGGTTCATGTGAGTGCATGTGAATCGAACGGACCCACATATATATTGTTACGGGTGCCACATATTGGCGCCTCGTAGCATTACATATATATATATATAGCAGACAATAATGCCAATAAAAGTATAGGGGAAGCTATTAGACCAAATAGTAATGTAACTATGAAGAAAAAAAAGTAAGTGAAAAGATAACTTCCTGTGGGCAGGATCCAAACCTGCGACCTTCAAATGACGCGTTCAATGCTCTACTACTGAGCTACCACGACAGCTATCCCCCCAGCCACTTTATTGGGTTTTATATGTGAATTCAACATGGGAGTGTCAGTCAGTGCCACCAGTAGCCTTGGCGGCGAGTGTGGCACACTCTTTTGAGCCTCTTTGGCGTCACGGAGCAGGTGAACTAATTACGAGTGGGAAGCTGACCAATAGTCCCTCGTATACAACCTGAAGGCACTAAGTCTGCCAGTACGAGACCCTCGTTAATGGATTAAGGAAAGAAGTGCTTACTTAAGGGCTCGTTTTTCTTTGTTCTACACAATATTAATGATATCTAACAGACAATAATCCCAAGGAAAGTATAGGAGAAGATATTAGACCAAATTGTAATGTAAATATGAAGAAAGAAAAGTGGGTGAAAAGATTAGTCAGCTGCCCACTCGTAATTAGTTCACGTGCTACGTGACGCCAAAGAGGCTCAAAAGAGTGTGCCACACTCGCAGCCATGGCTACTGGTGGCACTGACTGACACTCCCACGTTGAATTCACATATAAAACCCAATAAAGTGGCTGGGGGGATAGCTGTCGTGGTAGCTCAGTGGTAGAGCATCGAACGCGTCATTTGATGGTCGCAGGTTCTGATCCTGCCCACGTGAAGTTATCTTTTCACCCACTTTTCTTTCTTCATATCTACATTGCAATTTGGTCTAATATCTTCCCCTATACTTTCCTTGGCATTATTGTCTGTTAGATATCATTAATATTGTGTAGAACACAGAAAATCGAGCCCTTAAGTAAACACTTCTTTCTTTAATTCATTAACGAGGGTCTCGTACTGGCAGACTTAGTGCCTTTAGGTTGTATACGAGGGAATATTGGTCAGCTGCCCACTTGTAATTAGTTCACGTGCTCCGTGACGCCAAAGAGACTCAAAAGAGTGCGCCACACTCGCCGCCATGGCTACTGGTGGCACTGACAGACACTCCCACGTTGAATTCACAATAGCTGTCGTGGTAGCTCAGTGGTAGAGCATCGAACGCGTCATTCGAACGTCGCAGGTACTGATCCTGCCCACGGCAAGTTATGTTTTCACCCACTTTTCTTTCTTCATATCTACATTACAATTTGGTCTAATATCTTCCCCTATACTTTCCTTGGCATTATTGTCTGTTAGATATCATTAATATTGTGTAGAACACAGAAAAACCAGCCCTTAAGTAAACACTTCTTTCCTTAATTCATTAACGAGGGTCTCGTACTGGCAGACTTAGTGCCTTCAGGTTGTATACAAAGGAATATTGGTCAGCTGCCCACTCATAATTAGTTCACGTGCTCCGTGGCGCCAAAGAGGCTCAAAAGAGTGCGCCACACTCGCCGCCATGGCTACTGGTGGCACTGACAGACACTCCCACGTTGAATTCACAATAGCTGTCGTGGTAGCTCAGTGGTAGAGCATCGAACGCGTCATTCGAACGTCGCAGGTTCGGATCCTGCCCACGGCAAGTTATCTTTTTACCCACTTTTCTTTCTTCATATTTACATTACAATTTGGTCTAATATCTTCCCCTATACTTTCCTTGGCATTATTGTCTGTTAGATATCATTAATATTGTGTAAAACACAGAGAAACGGGCCCTGAAGTAAACAGTTCTTTCCTTAATATATATATATATATATATATATATATATATATATATATATATATATATATATCTTGAACCACACATTAGCTCTTCATTAGTCTTAAAGACACATAAATCGATGTATGCCATTTTTTGCTGGCTGCTTAGCACTACGTCAATTCCCACAGTGTGCAGGATCTGCCAGATTTTTATGCCATAGTTGACCAGCACACCTGCCACAGCTAATGCCACAAGCATGTGCATGATGTCCAAGTGACATGATGTCACTCTAGCGTAGCCTACTTAAATGACTAACACAGCAAACCTGTCTTCACTCCTGTTTTGCGATTTGTTACAGCAATAGACTAGTAGTCCTTGAATAGCGAGTATCTTAATAATTATTAACTGATATCACAAGGCACCTCTGTCAAAAACAAGCGGTGAAGCACTTCCAGGGAAGAGTTTCTCATTCCTGATGCTGTTACACAGTGGCTGAAAGAGCACAGGATGGCTGCGGGAAGTACTAAAAACTGTGATGAAAGAATATCTTCGTGCTGTTGGTAACCTAGTTGCATCAGTTCCAGCAGTCATACTTTTGCAAGCACCATCTGGCCACACAACTACTACCCAACAATGCAATTAAATGAATGGCAACTTTAACAAGCAAATTTATTACTGTCTTTTATGTACACTACACGTGGCGCCATCCCGTCTTGTCCGCCTCATTAGCTTCATAGCTTCGTGCCGATGTATCAGACACATTTGCCTTGCACTCATTGTCGGTTGAGTTTTCATCCTCGGCAATGCTTTCGAACTCTTCCTGCGGATGATTCGCAGTCACCAGCGACTTGCTCGGCGCCTTCAACATAAAAACCACTGGAATATCGCTGAGTTTGGGGTTCTGAAGCTGCAGTATCCTGAGCCAGGAGAGGAGAGAGTCCCTCGTTGAAGTGCCCGTGGCAGCCATGGCAAGGATAATCCCATCTGTCTGCTCGTGCACTGTGGAAGGTTTCAGCAGATCCGGCTTCTCATCAAGGACAGTGACGGGGATGTTGGACACATCTGACAAAAAAAAAAAAAAACAGGACTAATGTTATTCATGAAGACAAGATGAGCAGCCCTGTAACCCTCTCTCACAGCGACTGCTGCAGTGTGCGGTGAAAGCAATGCTCATTCACAGTATGTCAAACAGCAAAAAAAATTATGATGATTAACGCGCATGGTATGTACTACCCTGCAGAGCGATTTCTGAGCAACGTGCATGCAAAGTTACCTTTAGCTGGAATTATTGTGGCTCTAAATGCAACATCTCCATTGGCAATGCACCTATGGCATTAGGGCGTCAACAACAGTTGTTGCACCTTGTTAGGTTAAGCATGCTTTCATTTCCATGGCATTGATGGCACGAGGGTGTGCCATAGGCACTGAATATAAGGGGGTGTTTTAACCGTCCTGCGTGTTCAAGTTACTCCCTCCTTCACTAAGTAGAATACAGCAAAGTTCACACAATGTGTTTGACCCTATTGAAACCTTCAATTAAAGTTGGTCGAATCCCAATAAGGGAAGCAAATGCAACTGTACATGACCACAATGTTCCCCACATGCATCTCATAATAGAGCAAAATAACATCTCCAATGACTGGAAATACATTATTATTTAAAATTGATCATATTACTTCCAACATCTAAGAAAATAATCCACGAACCCATGACCAACCTCAGCACACTAATGAAGCCACCATCCTTCAATAACTACAACTCTTTCTTGAGGATCAAGGCTTTTCCCCAAATAGTAGTGCAGCTTTCTGGGAGAGTTGGTTCATAGTAATTGGAAGATTATACCAGCTAAAAACCTTCCTAAGAAAGGGACGGAGAACCACCAGACAGGAGAAGCGCTGAAATCACAGTAAGGCGTGTAACTTTCACATGGCTCAGATGGCTTTTTACACATGTGCTGCTGATTCATGGGTGGGAGTGTGTGCAATTCTTCAATAAACACTGAATCCAGAGCTTCTCCTGTCTGGTTGTTCTCCTTCGTTCTCATCATGCAGTTTTTTGCTGGTTTCATTTTATGATTTCTCCAAACAGATTGCTTGGGTATTGTGCCATCTACTTAAGCAACATATCCAACTAAATGAAGAAACTGTGGATACAGCCCGTGCTTGGCAAATCCCCGCCCTACTTTACATATGCATCCACACAGCCAACTTGCATGACTAGATCATCTTTAACTCTGTCCTTTGAGGACGATGGGTGTAATGTTAGAACAAGCCCCCTAAAAAGACAAAATGGCATAGACAGGATTCAGAAGAAGGGACACAAGCAGGCAAGCCTGATAACGAAGATTTTGCCTTGTATGGTATAGCATAGCATGGGGCTGGAAAAAGAAAGTGGGAGTGAGGAGGTGCTGATTTATACAACGTGAGATACAATAACTATGATACGGGTTACAGAAAGAGACAGACAAAAATAGATTATGAAAATCAAGATGAGGTAGGGGCACACGCATTCACCCATTCTTGATTTTCATTCTATTCACCCCAAGCTAGTGAAAAATTATAATATGCTTTGTGCAAGTTGTGCCTTCACCACATATCCAAGGCTTTTGACAACCATCTCGACACACTTAGGCTATCAAATTTCCTGGAAGGAAATTTGGCCCCTCTCAGTGAGAAGTTATCGATTAAACTTGGGCACAAAGGAAAGAACATTGGCAACAGGGTGACAAATGATAAAAATACACCCAATACCTGCGTTCCGTATCTATATGTGTTCTTTTGCTGTATGAAAAAGGTGGGGGACCATTTTGGCGTTCGATTTCCTTTCTTTCCTTAGGAATAAACTGGTTTGCGTCTGATCAATAATGGATAAAAAAGTTGAAGGTAAAGAAAGAAAGTGGAGTGACAGCGAATTAGGTAGAATGGAAAATTGAGCTAGCTAGTATAGATTTATGCTTAGGACTGTGAAGCACTTGCAAAAAGGACAAGAGACAGAAGACTTGTGCACTTCTTCAGTCCTTCGTCATTTTCGTGAGCGCTGTCCAGTCCTAAGCATGAGTGAACTGGGAAGTTAGTAACCACCGGGATGGGTTGGCTGAATATGAAGGGGTGCTGTGTACCTTGTTCCCTAGTCTTGCAGAATGTGCTATATATTGGCCAAGCTGGGAATAGTTTGAATAATAATTTATTGTATAACAGGGCATCACTGAAAGCTCAGCCTTTATCGAATCTGTGCTTGCATTGTACAGATTGCAAATGTCACCTGTTGCTGTGTCAAACGAAGGTGCTGTCCTGGCAGAAAGATAAAACAGTGCGAGAAGTAGTTGAGTCATTTTTCACTTCCAAATATGACAGTTTGAGCATTGCTGGGCCATCGGTTACATTGCAGGAAGTAGAGATTGATTATTTAGCTGCCAACTGTGGCATGGTGCCTCACCTACTGTAACACACACGCGCCGCGTAGTGTAAATGACAGAGAGCCCAGTGCGCCCCTCCATTGTGCGGATGAGATTACACTATAAGGGCAGGCGCATGTTAAGTAAACCATAAATAAACCCTATTTGTTTCCAGCAAGCCATGTGAAGAGTTGCTTCTTAGTGCTCACAACATGCTGTCAAAAGTGGGATTCTTCTGCCATTTCTGCTAGCATCTGTTCCCTTCATCCTCAATGGTCTCCAACAACCACGATGACGGACTTGGCTATGGCAGCTACAAGCGCGGCAACAGGCCTCTCTCTCACGCCTCTGCAACCATTCACATTTGATCGAGCCTCTGAGTGGTCTGCACGAATACTCGAGTTGGATGACTACCACTATACATCGGGACTCGTGCAACAAGAGCAGGAACTGCAGGCGCGAACTCTTTTCTACATAACACGTTGCCAAGTGAGAGAAATACTTAACACGTTCTTCCTATCCATGAAAGACACCAAAAACTTCGACCTTGTCAAGGCAAAGTTTGACACTCACTTCGTCGAAGTGAGAAATGTTGTCTATGAGTCAGCATGCTTCAATCGACGTGAACAAGAGCCCTCAGAGACTGTTGACCAGTACGTCACTGCCTTGTATAAAATGGCAGACAGGTGCGACTACGATGACTAGCAGGATTGCTTCATCTGCGAACGCTTTGTACTTGAACATCGCAACAATAACTTTTCCAAAGCCCTGCAGCTGGACACCAACTTCACACCCGCCCCACGCTCGCTAAGACATGCCAAAAAGAGTTCGTGCACAAGCAGCAGCCGCTTCTTCAAGCCACCGAGAGACCGTCCACTTTCAAGCCAGAATACATTGGTCTCTATGCCATCTCCCACAATCATTGCGGCAAAGGCCAGAACCTCCCGTGACCACATAATTACGCCATGAAATCAAGTAATCGATCGTGGAGCTACTGCGGTGGGGCCCCTCATTCTCGTTCTCTGTGCCCAGCAAAGACAGAGAAGTGCTCAAAGTGCAATGCAAGGGAGCCTTTTGCTCGTATTTATAGAAAAGTTCTGTCAAGAGACATCTCAATGCTCGAGCAAGGAACCTCAACGATGTATCTTGGGGCCATAAACCAACCAGCCGACGCTCAGAGCAATTCAAGGCTTGTCGAAGTTAACCTCAATGGCAATATAATGACCGTAAAGATCGCCGCTGGTGCTCAAGTTTCTGTTGTCCTGGCTACCTTTGCGGGAATCCCTGAACATCTCCAGCCGGAAAAGAAAACCCTCGCAGAGACGAGTGGCAGGGCACTTGAAGCTGTCAGAAAATTTGTTGCTACAATTACGTGGAGGTCATATAGGTCAAACCAAGTTGTCTATGTTGTGCAGCAGCTAAAACACCCACTCCTTAGATTACCTGCGATCGAAAGCTTGAAACTTGTCAAGTTTCGGTGTGCCACAGAATGCGTAGAAGAACAGTATCGTGAAAGTTTCAACGGTCTAGGACTGCTGACGGGTGCGTACACCCGGCAGCAGTGGTGAAGGTCCTGCGGCTGTACCTTGCTCTGTGACTGCGGCAAGGCACATCCCTGTGCCCTTGTGAAAAGCAGTCGAGCAAGACATCATCAGCATGATTAAAAAACTGTGCTACAGTCTGCGAAATACGAAGTCAGAGAGGAGACACAGAACAAAGTGGACATCCTAAGTGCAAACTATCCGCTGAACTTATTGGGAAAAAAAATGAAAAAAAAAAACTTTAAGGAAAGAAGACTTCCAGGAAAGCGAAAGATTGGTTCTTGATTAGGATACAGAAAGGCAGCAATTTTACTGAGCCGTCTTCAGGTGCTACACGTGCTGTGATTACGTTTACGAGATGTAGTGATGACTCACAGCTATTTCCCGAGCATGCCTATTCAAATTGCTATACAGTAAAAGCTCTTAATTCGGATTTCACGGGACCGGAAAAACTGTCCGAATTAACCGAACGCCGAATTAATGAATGAACAGGGAAAACAACATTTAAAATCAAGCTGCAGAAGCATACCTTTATTTGTTGAAGTATTTTGTAATTGTCGTCTGCGTTTTTACACAGATTCCGGCTGACATCACAATTTTTCTTAACTGTTCCGAATGGCCAACAGCACGCAAGCTGTCGGGAGTGTTCAGGTAAGCGTTCTCTAATATTAACAGCGCCTCCGAGACTTCCCGTGAGGTGCGATGAGGTCGCCGCTGTATCTCCTCGCATGATTCTTCGTCGGAATCGTGGTCTTCACGGGCGCCCGTGACATCATTAATAATCTCTTGATCGGTCAGGAGACCACTCGTGGCGACTCCATGATCAATCGCGATGTAGTCCTGAAAGGTCACATCTGTGGGAAGGACAGCATCGAAAGTCGGGCAGTCATCGTCGGTGGACTCGGCTGACACCTCCTCGATGCCATCGTCAGCTACTGCTGCATTCTCGGGCCTCACAAAACCGCTGTGCCGAAAACAGTTGGCGATGACTTGCGGTGGAGTGTTTTTCCACACCTGGGCGATGATGTGCACTGTGCCGAGTAAGTCCACTTGATACAACTTTCCAGCTTCTGAGCATAGGATCATTCGCTCTAGCAGGTGCTTGCGGTACTTCGACTTCACGTAGT